CGGGTGTCGGGGGTCCTGAGGTTGTTGTTCCCCAAGGCTTGGGGAGGGAGCACTGGGTGTTGAGGTGACTTACAGCCCTCCCTGGGCTCCGGGGTGTCTCGTGTCGTGCTTGAGTGTGTCACCTCGTCCCCCACTTGCCGCCCAGCTCCCACCATGTGCCACCCTTTGCCGCTGGTGCTGCCTCTGCCGTGCCGCAGGGTGCTCGTCACCTCCTCCCCGGGGAGCCCGGGCTGCTTCCCCATCCCCACGCCGTGCCTTGCCACGCGTCGTCTCTGCCCCGCTGCCTTGGTGGGCACCCGTCCCGCGTGCCCGTCCGCTCCACGTCCCAACCGGGACCCCGGGGGACCGGCATCTGCGTGGCTTCGTCACGCCAGGGTGAGAGCCCACGTCGCTGCCTGTGCCTGCCTGCCTGCCCTGCTCTGTCTCCAGGAGGAAAAAAGCAATGAAAATTCTCTTGTATAAAAAGGAAAAAAAAAAAAAAGAACACATGTAAAGAGAATCTTGGTTTTTATCATGAATATTCTAATAAATTAATGTTAATTTTTAGTGGGATTTTTCCGGCTGTTCGGGCTCCTACCCCTGCCACAGGGTCCTGGCCATCCCAGATGAAGGAGGTGGCTGCGAGACCTTGTTCTCAATGCTGTTGGGATGGAGGGTTTATCCCTCACCTTCCCAACATGACTTGGGAAGCTCTGACCAGGGTGAACTTTTTAAGCCATTCCCAACTTTGGTGAAGATGAAGGCTCCGCAGGGCCCAGGCTCCTGCATCCCTCCCCAGGGCCGCGCCAGCGCGAGGGTGTTTTGGGTGAGGAAGAGTTGTTTTTCCCACTTTGCCAGGGGTAAAGGTGCATTTGCAGGGACATGGGTCACCCCATCATTGTGCTGAGGTGCCAGCTGGGCGTCCCGGTGCAGCTCTGCCCACGCCGAGCCCGGTGCGTTGTACCCGGGGAGGAAGTCCACGGGCACCCCCCACCTGTCCCAGGTCCCTGCCTGCACTGCGGGTGGGTTTCAGGGGGCTAATGGCTCCGTCCCCAGGGGAGGGGGCTTGGGGACATTAGAACCCCGGGACGTTTTTGCTGACTTTCCCCAGGAGCCAGAGCTGAAGCCGAGCGCTTGGAGGGGAGCCAGTTCCCACCAGCATCCCCATCTGGAGAGAGGGAGGAGGTTCAGGTGGTGCCTGGGTGAGGGGCTGCCCCCCGACCCCAAAATCCCCCAGGAAAGACCATCCCAGCCCCAGCAGCACTTGCATCTTCTCCTCCCACCCCATCAGGAACCTCCCCAGGGCCACGGGTTCCCTGGGGTGGCCGGAGCTCCTCACTTTTGGGCGATTGCAATGGGAGCGTGTTTCATGGCTGTAAATTAAAGCTCTGGTTCCAGGAGGTCCTGACTCAACCCCTCACCATCCGGCGAGCGCATAATCGCTGGCGTTGCTCATCTGCCTAAAATACCTGGAGCTCAGGGTCCCCCGTGGCCCCAGGGCTGGGACTTGGCCCGGCTACCGCACCCCAGGGGTTCCCCCTTCCTTGCCAAGGGGTTCCTGGGCAGGACGAGGCAGGCGGGGACGTGGGGCAGGTGATGCCATGGGGCTCATGGCAGTGCTGGTTTGGTGG